CTGAGTTCAGGGGCTGGTGAGATGGCTCAGTGGTCTAAAGCACCTACTTAGAACAAGCTTAACAAAGCAGAGGGACCGTGGTTCAATCCCCCAGCACCACATGCCAGCCAGCCCTGCCCCCTGGTGGGCTGAGCTGGTCACACACACATACACACACACAAATAAATAAATAAATAAACAAAGGTCTGAGTTCAATCCCTGGTTCTGGAAAAAAAAAAAAAAAACAAAAAAACATTCTACAAGTCAAACTACACCCCAGTCCTTTTTAAATTTTGTTAAACTTTAAAACAATCTATCTTAGTCTCTAAGTCACTAAGTTGCCCAAACTGGGATAGACAAACCTTGCAATCCTCCTACCTCAACCTCTCAGACTGCTGGGATTATAGGTGTGCACCTTTGACTTTCTGATTTGAACTCGACTGACCACGCAGCCGTGTCACCACCCATGGCCCAGCTGACAGTCCATGTGCTAGCCAGATGCAACTGTGCGACAACATGCTCTCCCATTCAGGACTTCCCCACTTGTCATTCTTCACCCAGCTAACTTGTACAAATCCTTTATAGCACAGCCAGCTGCTCTCTACGAACTGCAATGGAAGGCATGCCAAGATTTACTGATACAAGCAAAAAGCTAGATTCTAGATAATAACTTAATCACATTTCAGAAAATAAAATACTAGGTATGTTATTTTGATAGTTAGCCAGTTAGCTATTTTGACTGATCTCATCAGAAATGATTTGAAGGGCTGATATTTTTCAACCTTCTTAAAACAACAATAACACTGCGATAGCACAGTAGCGCTCTATTGCTTATAAATACCACATTCCCTCTCCATTCATCTCTGACGGAGATACAAGCTGCTTCCAAGATGCTACTTAAACCTGCTATGAGCATCCCTGTGCCCTGATGTCTAACTCTCGGGAAGATATCTAGAAGGGAAATAGCTAGATTGAGTGGAATTTCCATTTTTAGGTTTTTTGAGGAATCTCCCTACTGATTTCCACAGTGGCTTTACTAATTTACAGTCCCACCAACAATCGGGAAAGGTGCCTTTTTCTCTGCAGTCTCACCAGCATGTTATTGCTCAACTTCCTGATGACAGCCATTCTTTCTGGAATGAGATGGAATCTGTGTTCTTTTGGTCCTCTAATAGCCAAAGATGCTGAACATAACATTCAGGTACTGATCAGCCATGTGTACTTCTTCTGAGAAGGGGATTCATTTCAGTCACCCATTTCTTAATCGGGAACTTTACTTGGTAGGGATAAGTGCTTTCCACATTCTAGGTAACAGTTCTCCATCCAAGAAGCAGCTGGCAGCATTTTCCCCTTTCTGTAGGTTGTCTCTTCGCCCTGAAGCTTGCTTCCCTTGCTGTGTAAGAAGCATCATTGTCATTCAGGCTGGTCAGGAACTCACTACGCAGCCCAGGCTGGCCACAGCTCACAGTGACTCTCCCGCTCCAGCCCCGAGTGCTGAGCTTCCAGGGGTGCCCTTCAGAAACTCCTTGCCTGTGCCCATGTTTTTGCATTTTATCTATCTTATCTTCCAGCAGGTTGCCTAACATTTAGATCTTTAATCCATTATATTTTAGTACATAGTGAGAGATATGGGTCTAGAGTCATTCTCCTGCATGTAGCTAGCCAGCTTTCCCAGCACCATGTATTACAGAGGGTCTCTCCCCTCCAGTGTGCTTCTGGTCTCTTTCAAAGATCAGATGGCTGAATGTGCCTGGGGTTGTTTCTGGATCTTCTATTCGGTTCCACTGAGGCACACGTGTTTTTGTGCTGTAGCTTTGTAATGTAACTTGAAATCCAGCACTGTGATGTTTCGTGCTTTACTCTTGTTGCCCGGGATTGCTTTTGCTATTCTTGTTCTCTTCTGGTTCCATGTGAATTTAGGATTCTTTTTCTAGTTCTGTGAGGATGCTGCTGGTTTTTGTTTCTTTTCTTTTTTCCTGTTGATACTTTGCGTGGAGTTGCAACACATCTACATATTTATCTTGCCTATCTGGAAACAGCACATCTTCACATTTTCTTTTTTGAGACAGGGTCTCACTATGCAGTTGAGGCTGGCCTTGAGCTCACTTTGTAGCCCAGGCTGGTCTCGAACTTGTACCAATCCTCTTACCTCAGTCTCCTAAGTACTGGGATTATAGGCTTGTGCCACCATGCCCAGCAGCTTTACACTTTCTAAGCTCTCCTTTTTCGGAGTACTACAGCTTTCCTTGTAGAGGTATTTCACTGAATTTTGTTTGTTTTCTGAGACAGTCTCTCCCTACGTAGTTCAAGCTGGCCCAGAACTCACTTTGTAGCTCAGGCTGGCCTCACACTCAGCCATCTTCCTGCCGCAGCCTCCCGAGTGCGGTATCACAGGGGTGCACCACTATGTCCTACTTCTTTCACTTCTTTTATTAGGTTAATATCTAAGTGTTTAATTTTTCTTTCTTGGGGGGCAGGGATTGAACGCAGGGCCTTGCGCTTGCCAGACAGGGGCTTATCTCCCTAGTAATTTTTCTTGAAGCTATTGTTAATGGTATTATCTCCCCAATTTCTTTTTCGGTGAGTTCATTATTGGTGTATAGGAATGCTGTTAATTTGTGCGTGTTGATTTGCTACCTTGCTGAATATATTTGTCTTAGGAGTCTTTTGATGGGATGTTTTGGGTCATCTGTACAAAGGCTCATGCCATCTGCAAACAAAGATGGTACAGTCTCTTCCTTTGCTGTATGTGTCGCTTACTTCTTTCATTTACCTGATCACCCTAGCTAGTTTTGAGTATTATATTGAATAGGGGACATTCTTGTTTTGCTCCTAATTTTAGAGGAAAAGCTTTATTTTTTTCCCCATTTAACATAATGTTGGCAGTAGATTTGCCATAAATGGTTTTTACCATATTGAGATAATGTTCTATTTTCTTCAGATTTTTTAAAAATCATAAATGAGGGGCCGGGGAGATGGCTCAGTAGAATAAGTGCTTCCCTGGCAAGTGCAAGGTCCTGAGTTCAATCCCCGGTTCCGCAAAAAAAAAAAAAATCATAAATGGGTAGTGGATGTTGCAAAGGCTTTTTCTGCCTCTATTGAGATGATGAGGTGGCTTTTATGTTTGCTCCTGCTTGTGTGCTGTAATATATTTATTATGGATTTGCATTATGTTGAACCATCCCTGCATCCCTGGGATGAAGCCTACTTGGTCATGCGGAGAGATCTTTTTTGTTTTGCATAACAGGAATCAAACTCGGGACCTTGTGCTTGCCAGACAGGTGCATAAACCACTGAGCTCTTTTTCTTTTCTTTTTCTTTCCTTTTTTTTTTTTTTTTTTTTTTATTGCGGAACCGGGGATTGAACTCAGGCCCTTATGCTTACCAGGCAAGCACTTATTCTACTGAGCCATCTCCTCAGCCCCACCACTGAGCTATCTCCCTGGCCTGTCTGATCTTTTTAATGATTTACTGCATTATGTGTGCCAGTATCTTATTAAGGAATTTGCATCCAAAACATTACACTAGGTAAGAGAAGTCAGATATAAGAACATATTGTACGGTTGAAATTATTCTAGAAAACGCAAATCTAATTTATAGTGGTTAAAAATTAGTGACAGGGGCTGGGGAGTTAGCTCAGCAGCCTAAGTGCCTGCCTTAAAAAGCTATGAAAATCAGTGTGGCAAAGAAACCAGGTGACACACCCAAATTGGTGACTGACTGGGGGCAAGGAAACACAAAAAATATGAATGTTTAGGAGATCTACATTGTTTGGGTGCCAGGCAGATAGCTCAGCAGCATTAGCACCTGCCTAGCAAGCTTAGGTTCTGAGTTCAATTCCTGGTACAAAAAAAAAAAAAGTTTCACAAAATACACTGCATGGCCGAAAGGCCTGACAAGATGAGATGGCTACAGAAGCACAGGCAATGTGTGAACAAATACGGCTGAGAATTTCTACAGCTAATGAAAAATAATAATCTATATTTATAAGAAGCTGAATCACAAAATAAAAAGAATTCCCTTTTGGATAGAATAAAATTATTTTTAAAAAATCTTAAGAGGTACTACCTTAAAAGGTATCTATGAAAAAGGTCACATTCAGATGCCAGCTAAGTCCCCGCAGCCATGACAAAGCTGGCAGAGAGAGGTCTCTCTGCACGTGCTGGGGAAAAGGCCACGCCAATCCACAGTAGACACCATGGAATTCAAAGGGAGAAATAAAGATATTTTCAGAAGAGAAAAACAGAACTAGCCACCAATGGACCCTCAGTGAAACTGGTTTTGAAAGGATATTCTTTAAGTAGAAGAAAGAAATCACAGATAAAAGGCTCAGGCTTCAAGACAATACAAAGTAATGAAAATGATACACAGGAGGTGGAAAGTGCAATCACACACTAACTGTATGATAAAATAATAATTCTGTCAACTTTAGAAAAATATTGTAAATACATGAAAGATTGAAAGTATGTGGCTGGAGAGATGGCTCAGTAAAACAAGCACTTCCCTGGCAAGGGCAAGGGCCTGAGTTCAATCCCTGGTTCCACCAAAAAAAAAAAAGAAAAGAAGAACCTTAAATTCTTTGTGGCCAGGGAGATGGCTCCGTGGAATAAGCGCTTCCCTGGCAGTGCAAGGCTCTGAGTTCAATCTCCAGTTCCAAAAAAAGAAAGAAAGAAAGAAAGAAAGAAAGAAAGAAAGAAAGAAAGAAAGAAAGAAAGAAAACATGCAATTCACTTATAAGTTCAGAATAATGATACAGGGATATAAAAAGTTTTATGTCCCTTATTTTGGAAGAAAATAATGACCTTTAGACAATAATAAATAGTAATGATCTTTAGGCATTGATAAATTAAGAGTAAATATTGTAGTTGAGTATGGTGGTGCATGCCTGTAATCTCTGGACACAGGAGGCTCAGATAGGAGGATTGATGCAAGTTCCAGATCAGCCAGAACTGCGTAGCAAGGGTCTGTCTAATTCTACAGTAACCAATCAGTCACTAGAAAAACCAGAAAACACAGCCAAGAGTCCCAGCTATCTTTTTTTTTGTAAATGTATTTGGTACAGGGTCTCACTACGCTGCTTGGATTCATACCGATTCTCCTCTTTGTAGCCTCCCCAGCACTGGGATTACAGCAGTGTGCCCCCACACTGGTCTCGGTGGCCAGCTCAGCACGCCCAGGGCAGGGCTAGTGCAGCACGAGGTACTTGAGATTGAACCCTGGTCCCTGAGCTTGCCTAAGCAGGGGCTTAGTCCACTGAGCTATCTCACTGGCCCTCTCCCAGCTATTAATGAAGCCGAAGCAGGAGGGTAACTCGAGGCCAGCCTGTGCAACACAGCCATTATCTCCTAAAAAGTTGAAAGACAAAGAAAAGTACCAAAGTGAATAAAATTCTTAGGAATATACTTAACCAGGGAAGCAAAAGACTGGTATATTGAAAATTACAAAACTTTGCTTAAAGATGTTGATAAATGAGACATCTGCGTCCCTGGGTAGAAAGACAGTGTCATTAAAGCAGCAACACTGCCCAAGTAAAAGATCTTTAGATTTCATGTAATCTCTAGTAAAAACTCAAGGGTGATTTTTTTTTTTAAGAAATGAAAAAAATATATATCATGTCTGCATCTTGTACAGCAATTAACCACTAGGAAGAATGTATGCAATGTGTTCATTATTGAAACCATCCTACCAATTTGGTTTGAAACTGTCTCCTTGCTATTTGTTTCTCAATAAAATTATAGGAAAAAAAAATGAAAAAATTTTGTATGGGATATTAAGGGGCCTGATTAGCTAAAAGCTATCCTGAAAAGAAACAAAGCAGGATTATGTACATGTTCTAAATTTCAAAACTGAATTAATAAAGTCATGGCTGAGAATACAGAAATAAGCTTTTACATCTATAAACAGTCAATTTTCATCAAAGGAACTGAACTGGGAAAGAACCTGAACTGGAAAAGAACAGTTTCATCAGCAAGTGGCGGGAAACTTCATGTGTGAAAGAATGGATTTATACCAACCTTACTAAACCTTACAACCTTACCAAATTAGCAAAACTTAGCAAATTTGCTAGCACTCAGCAAATGAAAACAATAATCTACATTTACAAGAAAGTTTAGCACTCTGGCATTCCAAGTGTTTTCAAGAAGTGAAAAGATCAGACTTTCTAAGCCTACATGTAATTCAAGCAGGCTCGTACACTGGGAAAAGTAACTCAGTGCATTTGAAGAGGTATGTGGAAGACTGGAAAGAAATACAGCCACCAGTATCCTGTAGCTCCTCTGATGGTGTCTGTCTCCTGATCTTTGACCCTTGTGGCCTTCTGACTTAGGAACAGTGATAACATTTTCCTTTTTTCTTTGGTACCAGAAATCAAACTCAGGGCCTCACACTTGCCACACTGCCATCCTGAGGCTTCAGGACCTTTGCGGCTTCCTGTGTGCTCTGTGAGCCGGTCTCAGGGAGACCACCGGAGTGAGCACCATGGAAAGGACAGTAGTGTCACCCGCTTGAGCCCAGCCCCCTCCAGCCCTCCAGCTAAGCAGCCACATCCATGACCTCATACGGGCCCAGGACAAGAACTTCTCCATCAATCCAGACTCCCTAGAAACAAGAAATCATTTTTTTTTAAGAAATAATTTTAGGGCACTTACATCTGAAATGATTTTTTATGCAGGAATAGATAGCCATGCCCAACAACCTCACTCCCAGGAATACACGCTGGGAAGTCTGCACGTAGGTAGTGCACAGGTAACATGCATAAGAGCACCGAGCCCACCTTCAGCCTAACAGTCAGCAACTGAAAAGACTCCCGACATACATGAAGACAGGAATAGACTTTTTTTTAAAATTTATTTATTTTGTGTGTGTGTGTGTGTGTGTGTGTGTGTGACCCACTCAGCCCACCGGGGGCGGGGCTGGCTGGCATGTGGTGCTGGGGGATTGAACCGCGGTCCCTGTGCTTTGCTAAGCTTGTTCTAAGTAGGTGCTTTAGACCACTGAGCCATCTCACCAGCCCCAGGAATAGACTTTTTAAAAACCTGTGGTGTATATATGCCCTGGAACACTGTGCAACATTTCCTGTTCTTTTTTCTTTCTTTTTTTTCCCCCCCTTTGGTACCAGAACTCGAACTCAGGGCTTCACCCTTGCTAGGCAAGCACCGTGCCGCTGAGCTACATCCCTGGCCCTATGCAGCATTTCAAAAGCACAGATTAAAGTTATGCACAATGTGGATGAATATTACAAACATACTGAATGAAAGAAGTAAAATGAAGGCATCCAGGGAATCTACATGTAACTTAGCAAATTAGATGATATAAAATACTAAACTATATGTTTTGTACAAGTAGATGAATCAAGCCATATTACACATGAAGATGAAAGAATTCACCATCATAAAAGTCAGGATAATAGTTAACTCTCAGAGGAGAAAACAGTTGTGGTTACCTCTGAAGAGACGCACAGCAGGATATTAGGGTCACCCCAGCTGCTCAGCAGGATTGTGTTCATAGCAAGTCTCACAGGCTGCACATTTTGTTTCGTGTTTACTGTGTGTGTAGTACTATCTCACAGTAACATGCTTTCTACAACATGAAAATACCATTATACTCTACCACTATCACAAAAACTAAAGTCTGATGAAGCTTAATCCAGTGTTATGCTAAAAAGTAGGGAAAAAATGGAATTTTCACACATCCTTGATGACAGGGTAATTGATTTTCAAAGTGGTTTAATCAATTACCCTCTCATTTCAAGGGCAGGGCTAGGGACACAGCTCAGCAGCTCAGTGCCTGTCTAGCAAGCACAAGGTTGTGAGTTCGATTCCCAGTACCAAAAAAGAAAAAAAAAATTAAAAGGCAGTCTGGGCAACATAGCAAGACCCTGTCTCAAAAATTAAAAATAAGAACCTAGAGATGTAGCACTGTGGTAGATTCATAAGGTCCCAGGATGACTGCCCAGTACTTACAAATAAGTAAACCAGGAATGGTCAGACAATAAAAGCTTTAATGCTGAGAATCCTTTGGGATTTAAGTATGCCAGACAGACAGAAATTGCTAAATGTAGGAGTTCATCTTTAAAAGTGGAGGCATTGGGGCCGGGGAGATGGTTCAGTGGAATAAGCGCTTCCCTGGCAAGCACAAGGGCCTGAGTTCAATCCCCAGTTCCAGGAAAAAAAAAAAAAAAAAAGTGGAGGCATTCCAGAAATGGACGGCCTCGGCCTCGTAAGGCTCTCTGTATAGGTGTGGTCTTGGGAGACATTATTGTGTGTGTCAGGAATGGATTAGCCAAGCACATGAACACTGGTCACTTTTAGTGTGTCTGTTTGCATAGCTATTTCAAGGTGGAGAGTTGGCAACCTGAGTCTGAAGAGTCCCAGAGGCAGGCAAGGGCTGAGAGTGAGGACAGGAGGGATCTACTTCTCTGCTTTCAACAGTGGGTAAGCAGTGACTCAGGAGCACATGAAACGGGCTGGGACATAGATCTGTAGTCTAAGCACCTGCCTGGCAAGTGATCCCCAGTACTGCACGCCATGTGGGCCCCAGAACTGAGCGTGGTAGTGCACACCTGTAATCCCAGGGTTGGGGAGGCTGGAACAGGAGGATTACTATGAGTCAAAACTGCAGAGCAAGACCCTGTACAGAAAAAAAAAAAAAAAAAGAGCACACAAACATGGGTCTTTGCACACCTTTCCTGTTAGAGTCTTAGGATTCTGCTGTTCCCTGGGGCTGGGACACACACACACACACACACACACACACACACACACACACACAGAGGAGCTGGGCTTACTTCTCAGTGCAGCGGTGGTTGAGGACTGTTGCCCAGAAGCCCAGGACAGACAGGATGAAAGGTATTGTGAGGAACAAAGTGGCCAGGTTGATCAGAGCCATGACAAAGGCATTGTAGAGACAGTTGTTAGACTGAGGCATGTGGGAGGACAAGCAGGCAATGGGACCAAAGCCTAGGCCAAGATCAGTCAGCGCTTGACTCCCTGCTAATGACCACACGTGCAGGTCATACACAGCTGACATCTGAAAGGCAAAGGCGAGTATAAGGGAGGGCGCAATAAAGCAGGCAAGACTGGCTGTGGCAGAAAGGCTATGGGGGTGGGAGGTACTGGATGATGGGGACAGGAGCCCTAAGAACATGCACTATGGAGTTCACCTCACCTTGGCAACCAGCAAGTATTTAAGGCCATGTTTTGCCCCTTCCAGTTGTAGACTCCAGATGAAGAAGCAGAAAAGAATGACATAGGAAAGTGACAGCAAGATAAACAGGCCCTGCATTGAGAGGGAGACACATATCCATTGTTGTATCAGCAGGGGCCAACCCAAAGATCCAAGGTTCTGGGTCAGAGTTCAGCAGGTGGTAGAGGAAAGCTTTCAGCAGGGCTCAGGGCTGGTGGAAGTGAAGAGCTGGGAGTGAGAAATGAGGAGAAAATGTAGAGAAGTGACTAAGGCAGCTTTGGCACCTGAGAGGATCGAGAGATCCAAGACCCCAGCTCACCTTCCCTAAGGACTGGAGCCCCTTGATCATGAAGGCCCCCACAACACACCAGGACACAAAGAAGGGCAGGCTGAGGCTCAGGACCAGTGGCCCGCCTTCCTCAATCTTGTCTGAGACCTGCAGGGTCTCTCGGTACCAGAAGTACATGGAGGGTGTCGTCTGTGCACACTCAGGATCTGAGGGGACCTAGCTTTGGCCGCACCTGCCAGACCAGGCACCCCGCACTCCCAGCCCTCCCTTCTCCCTTCCCTCCTGTTTGTGTTTCCTTCTACCTTCCTTTTTTGTCCCTCCTCCCTCCAGTTTCTTCTGCCAAATTCCCTTTCAGTCCTCATTTCCCCCTTCTCTTTCTCTTTGGCTTCCTCTCACCAAAGTCACTGGAATTCTTCATTAAGGGACATTTCTCCCATGGAAGAGGGAACTGGAAGATGTGGCTCAGGTAGAAGAGGATCCAGGCGTTCACCACATTCATGTATGTGCACGAGACAAAACACATCTGGGAGCAGGGAGGATCCGGGTGAAGGCATGAGTAGGGACAGGAAAACAGGGAACATGACAGAGGACTGGGGAGGGACTGCAGGGATGTGACCATGACTAGGAAATGGTCAGGAGACCTGCTGCAGAGGAGGGGTGGGCCTCAGGGCAGGGCAGCAACCCAAGAGGCCTGCGCAGCCCAGTGTTCCTCACTATAAAGCTGGCGTAGCCCACGCCACCAGCCCAGGGGGCAATGATCCTCCATGAATCCATGCTGTTCTGGTGCATCCTTTGGCCAACTGCCATCTCCAGGAAGAGCAGAGGGGTCCCCACAAACGTCAGCATGAGGATATAGATGACAAAGAAGCTGACTGCAAAGAAGAGTCCAGAAGGGTTCCAGGAACTGTGGCCTTCAGCGCCTGGACTCCTTCCTGGCCCCAAGACGCCACGCTCAGCACCAGAAGCCTCCTGCCAGGCCTCCAGCACCAAGGGTCGCGTGTTCTCACATCCACACAGTTCTAGGCCCCTCATCTACTGCTCCCTAATTTCTAGGTGGCCCAGATACCTGGTTTCTGCCTGCTATGGTTTGATCTAGAATGCCCTCCCAATGTGGTGGGGCCCCTGGGTTGTGCCAGCACTGTACTGTGAGCCACTTCATCCGCTGATGTGTTCACAGCAGGAAGCGCTGGTCAGGGTGGGGTCTCTCCGAGGAAGGCGAATGGCTGGGTGTGACCTGAGAGGATGTCCTCTCACTCCCAGTCCCCCACCTCCCTGCTTGTCCTTGTTCTCTGCTTCCAGCTGCCTTGAGCTGAGCAGCTCTCCCAGGCAAGCCAGCCAACCCTGAACTGGAATCTCCTGAAACTGTGAGGCAAAATACATCCTTCCTCCTTCCTCCTCTAAATTTTGTCTGTTGGACTTATTATTTATTTATTTTGGTATCAGGAATCAAATTCACAACCTTGCGCTTAACAAACAGGTGCTCTGTCGCCGAGCTATATCCCCAGCCCAGTGGGCTTTTTGTACAAGTGATGAAAAGCAGATGGTAAGCCACCCTACTGCCTACCGGGGCTGCAGCCCCGGCATCTGTGCGTGGAATGCCCTGCACCGCCACCCTCTCGTGGACTGAGGCATCCAGGCACCTCGCTCCTGTCCTGCTCGCAATACCAACTTCCAGCATCGACACAGCTCGGAGGAGTAAGCCTGGCAGACCCCCACCCTGCCAGCCCCCCATGGCTCCTTGCTTCCAGGACTTACCACCTCCTTTGTGAAGCCACAGGTAGACAAAGCGCCAGAGATTGGCTGGCCTCATCATGTAGGCCATCACAGCCAGGATGTACTCGATCTTCCGAGGCCAGAGAGGACGAGCAAAGAAGTCAGTGCTCTCTTCTCGCTGTGCCACTTGCCCCTGCTCCTTTGAGGGTTTCGATTTCAGGACTGAGATAGGTGTCATCTCCATTATAGAACTTTGGGGGTATTGCCCAACCCTGGCCTGGGTCTCTAAATTGTACATCTCCCAGGCCTGAGCATTCGAGATCTGGGCCCCTGACTCTTCGGGTGCCAAAGACCAGATCATTCCGGAAGAGACTGAGGTTTGTCCTGAAGGGGAGAGTCCTGAGTCCGCCTGGGAAAACTCTGACTCACTCGATTCGGATGTTCCCAGCAGGGATTCCGAAGCCTGGGGCTCTGCCACCCCGCCAGGCTGACTCTCAGAGGCATCTCTGTTGCCTGGGGGGCGGGGCTCTTCTTTCCCAGGAGACCTTAAAAATGACAACAAGTGCAGATTTTAGGTGTTAAGAGTAGAGAATTTACTAAGTTCAAAAACAATCCTCTCAGACTCCTTAAAGCAAATCTTCATTTCTAGCTCTGCCACCCACACAAATTCAAAGCAGTCACATGTACAAATCCCTCCTTTAGGTTTCACTTCTTAGAAATGCTTTAATGCAAAGGTCAGGGTCAGAAAGAGCCCAGCTAAGTGGAAAGAAGACAGGAATCACACGTTAAATGTTAGGAGGACCAGAGATCTACTTACAGGGAGGGATCACTGCCTTCATGTTTTATTTTGCCTTCTGTGTTATAGATTGAGCCCAGGGTCTTCTCCAGACCTTTCCACCTCTTCTTCCTCTTCTCTCTCTCTCTCTCTCTCTCTCTCTCTCTCTCTCTCTCTCTCTCTCCCCTAACAGTATCTCACTAAGCCCCAAATTACACAGGCTGAGTTTGAACTCAGGGTCCTCCTGCCTCAGCCTCCCAAAGGCCTGCACCATTACACATTCAGCTTGGCTTACGGGAGGAAACTAATTCAACTCCCAGGCTTAGGGGGCCTGCCCCTTAGCTCAGTTCTTTAAGTGGCTGCTTCAACAAAGCAGTCAGGCTCAGGTTGCTGTGGTTAGATCCCCACAACTCAAACCAGCCAAACCTGCCCTGAAGGCATTCGGAGCAAAAAAAAACAAAAAACAAACAAACAAAAAAAAACAACAAAAAAACCCTTCAACTCTCAGTCCTTCTCTCCTGACAGCTATCTGGTTTTGTTTTTTGGCTGGGGGGTGGGGGGAGGACCAGGGATTGAACTCAGGCCCTTGCGCTTGCCAGGCAAGCACTTATTCTACTGAGCCATCTCCCAGGCCCTTGACAGCTGTTTTAATGGTCTAAATGTTCTTATCATCGGTGAAAGGCTCTGGTCTCCCTCAGGGCCACCTGCTCCCTAGAATACTCCTGCCCACTTCCTGCTCCACTGCCCCCTCCTCCCACCCACCCTCTCTCTCTCCACAGACTTTCTCCTTTCTTGGCTCCTACTGCCATTCTGCCCCAGTGACAGTGTGGCTCTACCTCATTTCCAGGGCCACGCTCCTCGCGTCTCACCAGGCTCCCAACACGCTGACCTTTCACTGACTCCTCAAATGCTCTACAGGAGAACAGGTAAGGACTGTGCAAAAAAAAAGAACAGGAAAAAGTGGGCTGTGAAGGAGAGGATCTGGGTGTGCAGGACCCAGTCTTTGGTTTTGTCTCTACACAAGCAGTGAGAAAAGAGTCTGACAAGAAAGTGCACCAATAAATAATGGAGAAAAGACTTCATAGGTTTATAGCCTCCTTTCTGCTTTTAAGTAATTCTAAAAAATAAAAATAAATTAAAAAAGCATTGCTTCCATAATCACGAGAAATAGACATCAATAAGTAAAGGTAAAAAGGTGATACTGGACAAAGGAATCAGCTCCAGCTGGGCGCTGTGGCACACACCGGTGCTCCCAGCACTGGAGAGGCCGAGGAAGGAGGATAAAGGGATTTGAAGCCAGCCTGGCTACACAGGGAGTTCAAGGCCACCCTGGACTACATAGAGAGATGCTTCTCAAAAAAGTGACATTTCATTTACCTAAACTCAGATATTATTATGTGTAGATTTTTTATGGTAGAACTAATATGTTGAACTTAGTTCTGACCCAAGTTCTCTTATAAAGAATCACTTCTCCAAAAAAAAAAAAAAAAAAAAAAAAGAATCACTTCTCCAATGTATAAACTTAAGAGGATTGAACTCAGGCCCTTACGCTTGCCAGGGAAGCGCTTATTCCACTGAGCCATCTCTCCAGCCCCTTCCTATTCTTTTAGGCATGTGTCTTATAGTTGTAAGGTCAGGACTTACCAAATGAAAGCTCTGAGCTAGGCAAAGGATATTAAAGCAGTGGATAAAATCGTTTCATTTTTTTTCCCCTTTATTTCCACTATCATTACTCTGAGTACAGAATTCCCATTCTCTGCCAGGCAATGTTAGGGGGGCAGGAAGGGATATGAAGTGTGAAACAGTAGGGGACATGAGGTCACTGCAATGACTTGTGTGCGCAACTTTGTTTTAATGACTTCATACATGCTTTTTGTTTTTTTGAGACAGGGTCTCATTATGTAGTTCAGACTGGCCTTGAGCTCACTTTGTGGCCCAGGCTGGCCTCGAACTCACAATAATCCTCTGCATCAGCCTCCCAAGTTGCTGGGATTACAGACATGTGTTACCATGCCTGGCTTGATCCATTGTCTTTTTTTTTTTTTGTACCAGGAATCGAACTCAGGACCTTGCACTTGTCAGGCAAGTGCTAGGTCACTAAACTATCTCCCCAGCAATCCATTCTCTTAAGTGAATTATACTAATTCCTGGGTAGTATACTAATTATACTAATTACACTTAGAGTGTAAATTATTTTAGAAGTATTTATTTATTTTTTTGATGTATTTGGTCATTGCAAGGTCTTACTACTCAGCTCGGACTCGTAATGATCCTCTTGCTTTCAGCCTCCCCAGCACTAGGATTACAGGCGTATACCACTACACCCAGACTCTGGCCTGCTCAGTGCACCCTGGGGGCAGGGGCGGCACAGTATGCGATGCCAGGGATCGAACCACTGTGCGCTTGCCTAAGCAGGTCCTTTAGTCTGCTGAGCTATCTCGCCAGCCCAGAAGTATTCATTCTAAATTAACAAAATCTTAAATTTCAGTATTCATATCTCAAAATACTCCATAAATTACCTAACGAATGTTATCAGAAACACTTGTGGTAAATCATTGTATTACAGAAGTGAAGACAATTATGGTTGAAATTTTGGAAAGAAACCCACCAGTCTTCATAACATATTTTCTTGGATGCCAGAGAAGGGGGCCAGCTGTGTCACCTCTGAAAATGGAGTGGTACTACAGTTGAAGGTGTCCCATTCACTCTCCTGTACCACACTGAACAACTAGACTATGTGAATAAGGCAGCTTCGTTTTTTTGGATCAGGAATCAAACTCAGAACCTTGCGCTTACCAGGCTGGCACCGTGCCACTGAGCTACCTCCCCAGCCCCAGGCAATCTGTAGCATGAGTTCCATGCTAAAGAATCCACTCTTAACCTCACTGTAGCTTCCCAGCATCTGCAACCACCCGCTGTCCCTCCAGAATTTTAATGTGAACAAACGTAGTTTGACAGTGTATTATTTGTTGAAACTGTACTTCCGATTTGATTT